TCAGAACCTCGGAGAGCTCCAGGTGTGGAGGCTCCATCTGGCAGGCAGGCAGGCGTTGCTTTAGTGCCAAGAGCACCCTCCTCCACAGGAAGGAGGGCTTTCATGTGCATGATAAAGGACTCCATAGATTTGAGCCTAGCTAATCTTGCTTTTGTGGGTAGAGGTACAGCGAATCTTTTAAGCATTCAGAGAGGCTTTGGTCACCTCTGGAGCCTCAGGCAAAAAGCTTCAAGTGCACTCTCTTAGTCAAGGCACTGGCTCTTTGGGGGAGGCCAGAGGAGTCGGGGCAGATCTGGCCATGTCCCTGGGTGACTCTGCTTCTTTATACTTTAGTGCTTTGGTCCACTCTTGCATCCTGACTGTCTCAGGAGGGGCAAATGGAAACATATGCGAAAGTACTTTTCAAGTGTCAAGTTGTATTGCGGGGACCTTCATCATCTGTTTTTAGAGCATCCTGCTGGGCACCTGTGATGTTCGAATTCCATGCATGTATGGTATTGGCTAACTTGCATTTGTGTGGTAATTGGTGCCATGGGGCCAGCATGCATGGCAGGTATTTCTAGCTAGAAACAGTCATGGAGACCGACAGCTAGCTGTGATTGGAAAGTTTTTGAATGAAAAAGTTAGGCCTCTGGTCTTTTGGAAGGAACTCTAGATTTCAGAAGAAGGACGGTACAGGAGACATCTATTTTATAAATACCCTGGTGAGGCTGTAGACTAAACTGGGAGGGGAGAGACTGGAGGTAGATATTGTAATTGAGGCGGAGCTCAGAGCAGTGGAGCGGAGAGATGAGCCCTGAAGCTAGTGGGCTGGGGTGCCCATTCTGCTCATTTGTTAGGTCTCTTGGGGTAGTCTTCTGTGAGTGAGGCTTGTCTACAGCTAAGACACTGCTAACCAGGTATGCTCTTAGGGTGGGCTTTGGCACATTGTACAGACTTATCAAATCTGTTAACTTTCAGTATACAGCTGGTGGTGGCCTGACATCTACGGTACCATATAAGAGTCAACACTACTCTCAAAGTCAGCAGCAGGACCTCTATGAGTATTAAATAACTCCCCATTTCCTGTCCCTACTCTGGGTAACCTCTAACCTAGTTCCTGAATTTGCCTATTTTAGACCTCATAGAAGTGAAATCATATATTTTTACTTTTGTGTCTGGTGTATTTCACTTAGCGTGTTTTCCAGGGTCCTCTGTGTTGCACTGTGTAGCAGAACTTCATTTTTAAGGCTGAGTACTAGTTCATTTTATCGCTGTACAGCAGTCTGTTTATCCATTTATCTGTTCATGGCCCTTGAGTTCTCCCTTATGTTGGCTCTTATAAATAATGTGGTAAGCACTGGCCCATGCCTGTCTGTCTGCATCTCTGCTTTCAGTTCTTTTGAGCCTGTCCCTAAGAGTAGAATTTCTCGGTCCTGTGGTGTTGTTCTTTATTTAACTTTGAGGAACTGCTGCACTGCCTTCCACTATTTTACATTTTCTCCAGCCATACAGAAGGGCTCCATTTGCTCCAAATCTGTATCCTTATCAGTTTAGCAGTTCCTGTTCTCTCCCTCCCTCCCTCCGTCCCTCCCTCCCTCTCTCCCCTCCCATCCTTCCTCCCTCCCTCTCCTTATCCCTCTCTCAGTCCCTCCCTCCCACTTCAATTCAAGATGTCTTAGTCATATGAAGGGGCATCTCACTGTGGATTTGATTTCTATTTCCCTGATGACTAACGAGGGAGCATTTTGTCATAAATTTATTGGCCACTTGTACTTTTCCTTTGGAGAAATATCCAAGGCTTTTGTTTTTTATCATTTTTCAAGACAATAGAGGAAGAATAGAGAGAAACAGAGAGAGGAAGTGGTCAAGCCAGACTGGGAGCCTGGTTAGGTAGGAGACAAATGCTGACTTTTCCAGTCCGGGTAAGTGGACAGATGATGGGGTGCCAAATAGGATAGCTCTCCTCCCTCATGAGAAGAGGGGGTTAGAGGAAGGCACTGGCCTTCCACGGCTACACTGGGCCAAGGCATTGTTCAGCTGAGGACCTAGCAGAGTTCACTGCCTTGTCATGTACCCAGGTTTTTTTTTTCCTGGTAAAAGTGAGTTTCTTCTACCTAAGAACCCACTAAAAAACTTTAGTCAAATGTGAACAGTCACAGAGGTGTGGGCATGACAAAGGAATGCGGTGTGTCTAGGCAAGCTTCTGGTGCTGTCTCTCTGTTCTGCCTGCTTCTGGGACAGCAACAGAACCTGCACATTGTTGCGGACCATAGCTTCTAAGGTGTCTTCTACTGAGCATTTTAGCATCGCCACCTTTGTCTCGTCCTCCTTTTCAGCTCATCCAGAATATGTGGCGTTGATGGTGAGTGGTCATGTCACCACCATGGTCCACTGAATGTCTTGGGATCACTCCCTGGCAAAGGTAGATGGCTGTTGTTAGCCACCATTAAGAGAAACAAGTGCATTTGGTGACTTCTTCTCGTGTCTTCAAGAGCCATAGCCGGCTGGCAGCCATCATGTGGCTTAGGCAGACAGTGTTTGCAGATTGTCCCCTGAAGCCATCTGCCTGTGAGGCTACAGGAAGCCCCAGCAACTGCTGTTGTAGCAGGTGTTGGGGCTGATGAGGTGGGTGTCCCTGTACACACACACACACACACACACACAAACACACACACACACACACACACGAGCAGCTTTGTGTGATATGCAGACCTACCTCTGCTGGTGTGGGCTCAGAGATAGCAGCTGAAACTCTCAGCCTAGCAAGGCCCCAGCCCAGTTGCTGGTTTCCGGTGAGGCCCTGGTTAAGGAGCAGCAGAGAGGAGGCTGTTGTGAAGAAAGCTAGTGATTGGCCTAGGGCCGGAGGCAGTGTTTTGACAAGCATTTGTTGCTTTCTTTCCACCTCGGCCTTCTGACTCATTTTGTAGAGGGGACGAACCTCCATTTCTTACCCTGTTGTTTTCAAAGCATACAATGCCTTATCTGTGAGTCCTTCCTGCCATTCAGGCTTCAGGCCTGGCTCCCTAAGCTTTGATTTTGTACCTAAGTTGGTGTGGTCATGGGCTCAGACAAGCATAGAAATGACTGCTGGCTTTGGAAGAGTTCCTGTGTATAGACCTGTATTTGTGTAACCATTAGTATCATTTTTGGCTATTAATAATTTTACAAAGAATTATCTAAGTTATTAAAGCAATATAAAGTAATATTGAGCATTCCTTATCCAATGTGTTTGGGACTAGAACCATTTCAGTTTTGGGGACGGAGGGGAGGTTTTCGCATTTACCTAACGAGATATTTTACAGTGAAATTTCAAAACTAAACACAAAGCTAACTTGTTTCACACACACACATAGGCTGAGAATCATTTTAGGCGCCATTTTCAGTGCACCTCTGCTTTCTCTGTAATCTATCCCACGGGCTCAGGCGTGGACATTTTCACTCGTAGCATCATTGTCAGTGCTCAAAAGGTTTTGCTTTTGGAGCAGTTCATGTTTTATGTTAGGAACATTAAGCCTGTGACTAAGTCATGCAGTGGGTTTAAAAGATTTAGGTGTGTGTGTGTGTGTGTATGTTAAATGTGGAGGCCAGAAGAGGACGCTGGTGTCCTGCTCTATCATTTTGTCTTACTCCTTTGATATAGGTGGTGGTTCTCAACCTGTGGGCCGCAACCCGTTTGGGAGGTCACATATCAAATACCCCGAATATACAATGTCCTGCTTATCAATATTTATATTACAATTCAGAAAAACACAATTGCAGTTGTGAAGTGACGATGAAATGATGTTATGGTTGTAGGTTATCACAACATGAGGAACTGTAGGAAAGGATCACAGCATGAGGAAGGTCGAGAACCATTGATAGAGGATCTCTCATCCAACCTGGTGCTAGGCTGGTGGCCAGCAAGCCCCTGCGATTGTCCTGTCTCTGCCCCAACCCCTGCCATTGCTGGAGTTACTGGTACACATGCGATAACAGCAGGCTTTTTACGTGGGTGTTGGGGAGTCTAGCTCAGGTTTCCATGTTTGCACAGAAAGCAACTCTTACTCATTGAGCCTTTGCCTCAACCCCAAGATCCAGATCTTTAAAATGGCACTGATTGATTGATTGATTGATTGATTATATGGAGGTCAGAGGACAGCTTTCTAGAATCTCCTTTCTCCTTTCACCATCTTGGCCCCAGGAATTGACTTCAGGTCATTTAGCAAGTTCCTTCATCCACGGAACCATCTTGCTGCCCCCAAGAGCCAGGTCTTAAATGAGTTTGGGTAGAAGTCCACCTAGATGAAGGGCAGCAAACATTTATTATACTAGGTTGGACGTTTCAGGCTTCCTTTCTGTAACATCTCCTCAGCTCTGGAATTGGAGCGGCATACCACTAGCCATACAAAGGACACATGAATGCAGTTTGTGCGCTAATGAAATTTTATTTACAAACTAGCATGATGGGCTGGAGTTTGCTGACCTAAAATGATAGGCATTCTTTTTGCCTGTCATTTAGCTCTTATCCTTTTTTTTTTTTTTTTGGTCAAGAATTATAAATCTAGAGGAACTTGCGAACTACAAATGCATTTAAATCATCTTTTGAGTTTGGTATAATGATGAGCATACTGGTGATTCACAGATGTAGTTTTTCTAAACCTTTGTTGAGAAGAATAGAAATCAAGGCTTTTGAAATGGGGCATATGCTTGGCTGGGGCTTGTCATAGTGGAAACATGTAAAAGAAACTGTAATTTAGAGTTATATGGTGGTGCTTACATTTCCACCATTCTCTTGATGGTCACGTGGAATGGCCCCGGTCATATAAGGTTACCTTCCTATACTGGGCACTGTTCCACTTTATAGGCCTAGGTGTTTCCTTAACAAACAGAAGAAGTAAATTACACAAATTCAGACAATGGTTTTTGTCAAATACTGTGTTGTATTTATGTGGCATTATTATGGTTCATTTCCAGAGGGATGAAGGGGCGCACCAAAACTTCAAACTCTAAATACTCCCTTCCTTTCTGTTTCCTCACAGGAAATAAAGAAGGATATGAAGAAAGACCCTCTCGCCAATAAAGCTCCAGAGAAGCCCATGCTCGATATAGCCAGTGGAAGTGCTTTGCTGTCTTCTGAAGGCATTTTAAGAACCAATAAGCGAGGTATGGCAAAGGAGGGGGGGACCCTTTCTCCCTGCACATGGGCACATCTGGAGACCCTTGTGTGCATGATGTCAAACTGAACATTGCTGAAAAGTCGAGGAGTTTGTTTTTCTGGTTTTTAGTATAAATTGTGTACACACACACACACACACACACACACCTAGTAAGTTTGTAGTAAAAAGAACTAATAAAATGTTTTCAAAGGAAAGTTGAGTAATGATTTATCAATGGGTTTAGTCTCGACTTTCTTGCCTATTTGTGTGAGTGAAAGGCGAGTGTAGAGAACAGTAAGGTTCAGGCTGGCCTGTGAGTGTCTGCCCACACTCTCCTTTGAATGAAAAGAAAATCCATTAGCATCTACCTCTCTAAGTGCCTGACTCCCCAACACAAACCCTGCCTCAACTGTGTTTATAGGGAAGACTGTTCAAAGGTATAACAGTGCATCATCTAGCCCAGAAACCTTCCAATCACTGTCTTGTTTGCCTTCTTTTGAGACCTAAGTCACTTTAGGTCGGAGCTTATTAAAACTGCTCCTTTCACCATCTGCCCTGACCAGAACTGCTTTGTGAATGATGTAAAGATTCCAGAGAAGACCCTCCTCAGTGCTGAACGGTGGGCACACTTGGTACTGTTAGCACTGCCTGACCTTGGGTCAGCCAGGGCCCACAGTGGGCTGAGCATGCCCATATGAAGTCAGACTTCAGCTGCCCTCTTTTCCTGGGCTTATTATGTCCTTAAAAGGGAATTGAGAGCTGTTCAAAACCAGCAGGAAGAAATGTATTAGCAAAGGGTTTCATTAACAAGGGGAAAAAAGAGGCAAGTTTACAAAACCACAGGGAAGAACAGCTAATCTTTCATAAAATTTAGACAGCATGAGAATTTGTCCAATAAACTACCCATTGATCCTAGTTCTGGTAACATTGGCTTTGTGTCTCTCTTCCTTCCTGCCTCTTCTCCTGCCCCTTCCAGCTGCTCTGGGTTCCATTTCCTATTTTGAATCATTCACATGAAATACTGGCTAGTGGCCCAAGTTGGTTAGCAGCTATAGGATTTTCTTTTCCTTCTTCTTCTTTGAAATCTCATTGTATCAAAAATTGGGGCTTTCCCATTTTAAGAATTTAGCTTATGTTACCGTAAAACTAATCTTTGCTAAATGCTTCCTGAATTCTTTAAAAAAAAATTATCTTTGGAGACAGAGTCCCACATAGTTCAGACTGGCCTTCAACTTAGCCCTAGCTAGTCTCGAACATTGACTCTTCTTGCCTCACACTCCCAAGTGCCGGCCAGCATGGCACCATGTCTGGCCTAAGCTGACATGCGCAGCTTTCCATTCTTACATAGAGATTCCCCAAGTCCAGGGAAGACTTGGACTTTGGATTTAAGAGCTGGAGCCCAGTGAGTCTTGTTTCTGGCTTCTGGGAGCTATCTCCTTCATATGGCTCATCTCAAGTCAGGGGTTCCTGCTGTTCCATACACAGTGACCACGAGCAAGCAAGGTCTGTCTGGTCAGCCCTGCTACTTTATAAAGTCAATAAGAGACTTAATTAATTTCAGAAGAGAAGGAATTAATTAAGGCAAGGAATGAAGGTAATTATGTGCATGGCTTCAGTGAAATTACCTGAGAACTTGAAGTCACCTAAAGAACAGAACTTTTCAGATGATTGTTTCTTTAGATCTGAAACCCTGGCCTTGAATTTCTTTTTCACTAGAAAAATTAATTTCACGGGGTAGTTTACTTGGCTGTTTCAAGTCTTCTACCTTAGGCCTTCAGCCAGATTAAGACAAGGCTTTTGTAGTTGGAGTTTTTACATGCTACATGCCAGGACCTGAGAGACTTGAACAGGCAAAGGCGTCCTGTAACTGTGAAGCCCATAACAGCCCATTTCCATTCTGCTCCAGGCTTTACACTGACCTCCTGGGTCACCTGGGCCAAACATCAGTTCCCAGCTGAAGGGAAGCATTGTGCCCCAGGATGGGTGTCCCAGGATGGGTGCCTCCCCCACCCCATTAAGACTAACACTATTTTGCCCCTCCTTATAATAATCAGTGCGTGTGCTGGAGACTGACTGGCCTTCTCAGGCCAGATAAATAGTTCATTGTACTGATCTCAAAAGCTACAATTCTTTCCCACCCAAAATCAATGAAAAAAAAAACCCACCCTTCCCCCTTAAAACAAAGATCAGAAACGAAATCTGTGGGAGGTCATTCTAGTTCCCCCTAAACAGTTCTGTAATTTTTCGAGTTATTAGAGTTTCCCCCTCCCCTCTTGTTTCTATCCAGCTTTGTCCTTCCAACCTTTAGGAAGATTTTGGTCTGTCAGTATCTTTATAGCTATGACTAAGGGAGGAACTTGCTTTTAGGGTTTGGAAGTCTATTTTGATTTGCTAATGTTGAATCTTTCTTCAGGTATATGAATCTCGAACCCTGTGAGAATTTAGCAGAAAACACAAATTCCCGTCAACTTAGTCAAAGATGGGAGGGCTCTTTTCTTTCTATGTGGGCCTTGTCATTTGATTCAGGCCTGGAATTGGTTTAATGAAGAAAGAGTCCATTCTATTCTGGCTGGGACTCTGAACTTGAGCCATGTCACTGGGGCCTGAGCTCAAGAAGTCTCCCCACTTATATCCAGCTGTTCCAGCAGTCTGCGACCTACCTCACTTTGTGGCAATAGCTGACCGACAGGCTTTAGTACCTGGCCATCTGAAATAAGCCTGTCTTTCACTGCATAAGGGCAGAAGAACTTGGGATCTGAAGGAAGTTCTTCATAACCCCAAGAACAGGGCAGGAGCACAGACCAGGAATGTCAGCACATGGTTAGCCTCAGTGTGACATTCAGAGTCTCTAAGGAGGGACAGGAATGAGTACTCCGGTCTATTGTTTGAGAAGAAAGGTTCAGCTGAAGTTCCAGGAGAAAGCCAACCACCCCAGCTAGCTTGAGAGCCATCAGCTGCCCATTTGGGGCATGACAATGTCAGGGAGGTACACCTACCTCTGGCCACAGAGCACAACTTTTGGCTCAGACAAAGCTACTTGAAAGTGACTTCTTACTTGGTAATTTCTTTTCTGTTAAATCCATACGGAAGAATGATGGACCCTCCTAAATTGGAACATGAAGGGGTAAAGGGAATTGTTTTTTTTTTTTTAAAAAAAAATGTTCAGAAACATGAGAAGCAAAATTGAATAAATTAGAAGTTTGAACAGTTACTAGCAAATGTGTTCTTAAAGATGAACAGTTGGTTTTGCCCATCTGAATGCTCTTTTCTACTTCAATTCAAATCAAAATAAAAATCAATTTGGTTTCATATGTAGAAGGAATTCCTATTTAGCTCTGTCCACGTGACGGATGGTGTATGCAGGCTATAGTCGATTCTTTACTGGCCTGGGTAAAGACTCCGAGGTAGGAAAACTGCCTCAGAATCCCTCCCTCCTGCTGCTTATGATTGGACATTGTTCCTTTTTTACTTTTTTGGGGAGCACCAGTGAACACTCTAGAACTATAGAGTTTATTGCACTATGTAAACTGCATACCGACTATGCACCCAGTCCAGTGCCTACTGCTGCTGCTGCAAAGCCTGGAAAACCAGCAGGCAGCCCTGCCTGTGGGCCCCTTGGGCTGTGTGCCACATAGAAACCATTGAGAAAGCCCCGTCCATCCCCTCCATCCTTTTTTTTTTTTTTAAAGAACAAGGTGTGGGTGTATCTCTGATTTACTTTTGTCATTCTTAATGTGAAGCCACTCGGTGGGTTTCTGGTTGGCTTTATGTGTCCTTGTTTCTATTTCCAGTTTATCATGAATTCAGTGTTTGGTAAGTGTCTATTGTATTTTGTGCATCTCTTATTCTTTGCTATTACTACTGTTACTGTTATGCTACCCTGATACAAACTGTATTTTATAATCATCTTTTTAAGCCGCTCTGCTACTCTGGCATCTGCCTTCTGAAAGATACACTGCCTCTCCCCATCTTTATTTAAGATGATGCTTTTGCACTTCAGTGCCCCTTCCAGAGAGAAGTGCTGAACGAGCTGACAGTTTTAGAGATGTTACTGGTAACAGGTCTAGCTCTGATGCTGTGAGGGAGAGCATCTGTCTCACACAAGATTCTGGTTAGGATGGGGGCAGTGTTGCTCCCTGAACCGTTACATGGCTCTGACTTTATAGAACATTGCTCTGTGGGTTCTGTTCGGATACATTGCATCTTCCTGCCAGATTACACTCAGAAGCTTTCCTTAATGGAAGGACCAATCAATGCTCTGCCTCTGGTGATACACTGTTGCTTTAGAAATCAGCATGGAAACCTTCAGGGTCCATTTGCATGCGGATGGGTGGTGCTTGCATGCCCTTCGCGTTAATGTAGGCCTCATATTTGCCACACAGAAGTGCTCTCCATTAGGGACTACTGCCTGGAGCTCGCCAGCAAACTGAACCAATGTGCACCCTTCTTTCCCATGTATCATCAGTGATCCTTCTGGTCCCTAAACAGATCTGGTCAAGTGACCACTCTCCCCTGTCACCTTTTCTATTTCTTTATCATTTATCTTGGTTGCCTGAAATAATACACCAAGGTATTCATTGGACAAACTCATGAGACTTTGGGTGAGGGCTAGTGTATGTGCATATGTGTTAAGTATGCACACTGGCATGGAAGGCTCACCGTGGCTCAGAGGCTCAGGGGCATTCAGAAATGTTCTTTGAGACAGGTTTGACTCCAGTTCAGTCACGATCCCTTTGTCTTAGCCATCTGAGAGCTTGGATTGCAAGCATGTACCATCATCATGCCTGCTTGATTGGTGGCAGAGATATTGAAGGTCTTGGGCTCTTTATTGGAAATTATCTGCAAGCAAAGAATGCAAAAAGTACATCTTTAATAAAGAAAATGTGAATTTGGGGATTTAGCCAGTGGTTGAGTGCTTAGAGCTGGCTTCTGCCCTCAGCTTTGGGAAACAACGAAACAAAACAGAGGCAGACAGAGTAAGTCATTTAGTTCCTGTGATGTGTTATT